AACTCATGTCAATATGGACCAAAATCTCTGAGGAATGTTTCCAAGACCTTGTTGAATCTATGCCACAAAGAACTAGGACAGTTTTGAAGGAAAAAGGGGTTCAAGCCCTGTACTTGCCAGGTGGACCTAACAAAGTGGCCGGTGAATGTATATGGGTGGGTTATACCTCCACCGCCTTTGGCTGTCCGTTTTGACAGCTTTCTGGTGGAATAGCTCAGGTGGGTTTGCACTTGTGCCTGAACCCGCCTGAGCCCATTCCTAGTGACCATATTCTAGATCTATCATTACACTTTTTTACACTGTTCTGCTCCCCATGGGGCACAGTACATGTAGTACTCTGACCTGCCCCCATCTCTTCGCCCTGCAGCCTGTTCAACAACAGCTAGGAAGGAGATGGATCCGTCATAACAGTAGCTTGTCTCAGCTCTGAGCAATTTACTGAACCAAGCTGTGGCAATAGGAATGCTGAGATGTATGGATATCTGTATTTGCTCCCACTTTCACAGTCCTTGACTAGATGAGTATGATGTCTCTTGTGCCATTTCCTCCTTTCCTGCAGCCTTCCTGCATGTACCAGTAGGCTGCAGGACCACTCATAGAGCTCTGTGCAAGCTGGAGCATGCCCATGGGGTCATTTCCCGACGAAGTCACATCCAGCTCCCGTATCCAAAATGGTGGCCCTGGGTGACTCGCCATGGTAAGAAGAATCGCTGGTGTGAAAACTGTGAGGGGGGGAACCTGAAGTTCCTCTTTAAATTCTTTGTTTTACAGGGGGACCGTGTTCTATGGGTATTACAGAGGTGACAGGGTCACTTTAAAAAAGATAAGAACATGCCCTAAAGATATATTTTTTACACCCTCATATGGGAGTAACCTAAAACTTTGCATGGTGGAATTGGCTTTTAACCACCTCCCGTCCGGCCCGTTGTATATAAACGGCAGGATGGTGGCAGTGCAGGGTCGGGTGATCGTTTATAAATGGCCTCCCCGCCCCCTGCTTGTGCACGTTCCCTGGCAGCGCAGAAACGCGATCCGGTGCCCACTGTGTCCTACGGACATAGTGGAACACCAATCGCTGTACGGGACCTCTGTGCGAGGTCCCGATCATGTGATCACTGATTGGCCAATCAGTGTTCACATGCAGAGTAGTAAGCAAGATGTCACTTCTGACATCATTGCTTACTACGTGTGAAATCTGTGAATGAGCAGAGGTCACATGGTACAGGGCCATTCACAACAGCCTTGTACCATGTGACAAGCTGTGACCAATCACAGCTCACACAGTAGTTCTCAATGGCTGCAGGAATGCAGTCAGAGAGAAGGAGAAATGATTGCTTTTACAGCCTTTATGGGTGTAAAAGCAATCAGTGTAAAAAAAAAAAAAAAAAAATCTTCATCACCCCCCCACAAGTAGTACAGTGTCACCATGGTGACGCTGTACTGCTAGGGTGACAGTATTTAAAAAAAAAAAAAAAAAAATGTAAAAAAAGTTTAAAAATTATAATTTTTGGTTATAAACTAATTTGGGTTATTTTTTTTATTTTTTTTTTTTTTTACAAAAAAGCTAACGGAATAAATTTTGGCGAAGATTTATGATGCAATATTATTTATTTGCAAAATGTTATAAGAAAAACACTTTTTTTTTTTTCAAAATTTTTGGACTTTTTCATTTATATAGCAAAAAAAAATAAAAATCCCAGCGGTGAATAAATACCACCAAAATAAAGCTTTATCTGTCTCAAAAAAATGCAAAAAATTCATATGGGTACAGTGTTGCATGACTGCGCAATTGTCATTCAAAGTGTGATAGCGCTGAAAGCTGACAATTGGCCTGGGCAGGAAGGGGGTAAAAGTGTCCGGACTGGAAGTGGTTAAAGTCCGGACTGCCACGGCTTTAGATCTGCAAGTCTGATGCTTCCCGGATGTCCAATGACTTATCTCCTAGGATTTGGATATCCTGGTTATGCTGCACTGATTGGTGGGGAAAGTTTGTCACACATCTTTATCTCATGCAGATTACTCTGGAGGATTCCTACAGCGCTCATTCTTCTTGATTCCGCGCTCCTACTAATTCTTCTGCCATCATGGGTATTCAAGGTCTCCTACAGTTCCTTAAAGAGGCATCAGAACCCGTCCACGTGAATCAGTACAAAGGACAGACTGTGGCGGTGGACACCTACTGCTGGCTTCATAAAGGGGCTTTCGCCTGTGCGGAGAAACTGGCCAAAGGGGAACCGACTGACCAGTAAGTTTTATGCTGTGCTTTTGGTTGAAACTGAACTCCAGACAGATTTAGAAACGCAAGTTAATGCAGCTCTTGATTAAGTGTTGTTGCATGGCGACCACTTACTGTCATCTCACATATATATTCTTAGTATTATAGCCAAATTTACTGCCCTAACTCCTCCCACAGTTTTTACACTACATAGACAGTAATATACCGAAACGTGCGGATTGTTCCCGATTGGATTGCTATTACTTTGTGGAACGTTTCGTCGAATGGTTCACGAAATATTGGCATTTTTGTGATGAAATTGGTCCCATAGGAATGAATGGCGGAATGTTCAAAACTAGAGTGGGAGCTGACAAAAGCTAGAGTGTGAGCTGAAAAATCAGGACATGATTTCTAAACTGCCATCACTCCCTCATTTTCAAGCCCACCTACGCAAATCTTATATCAAAACGTTCAGCTATCCCTGCTGCCACTAAAAATGTCCACGGCTAAGCCATAGTCCTGATACCTTTTACAATATGACCATTTGTTTGCAACTCACGCCGCCCATTGACATTCATTGAAACTCCACTCTAGCCACCTCAAATTTGAAGGGCAATTTCTAAACTGCGACTGTGCCTTCATTTTTAATATTTCAGAGACATACCATGCATCAAAATGTAGGTCTGGGTCTTGTGATTCTCACAATATAAAGCTCTTCACTGTAGGATTTATAGTTTTTAAAACTACAACCATTTGAAGACGCCAGTGAAGTGAGCAATTTGGAGCAGTTTGTTTTTAACCGCTCTTCTCTGCCCTATTTGAAATCTAATTTTGAATTGCTGACAGTTTGGCCGGCTTCTGGTTCAAGGTTTGGAAATAAGTTTTCTACAGTAGAGAGTATTTGAGGTGATAATGCTTCTAATGGTTTTATAAATGTATGTTTTAATGTAACTGTGAAGCACTTTGGGCAACAACATTGCAATTAAATGTGCTATATAAATAATTTAAAAGTTGAAATGCATTTCTCACACTATCAAGCTTGCCATGTGCATTTTTTAAATTTGATCTATCAATTGGTCAGTGTAATGTTTACTATCTTTACTCACTCCAAACATCCCACACCAGGGGCGGACTGACCATTTGGAAACTCGGGCACTGCCCGAGGGCCCGGGGTCAGTAGGGGGGCCCCATGAGATGCCCCTGGTACCTTTTTTCATAGGCTTTTTTGAGTTTTGAGTTTGGGCAAGGACATAGGGGCCCCATGATCCCCTACTGCCCGGGGGCCCCATGATCCCCTACTGCCCGGGGGCCCCATGAGTTGTCAGTCTGCCCCTGCTCCACACAGTTATTCTGCCCAGTCCAACCTTTTCACAGTTTCTCCAGCCACTCCTGATTTCTAAACTGCCATCACTCCCTCATTTTCAAGCCCACCTACACAAATCTTATATCAAAACGTTCAGCTATCCCTGCTGCCACTAAAAATGTCCACGGCTAAGCCATGGTCCTGATAGTTTTCGCAATATGACCATTTGTTTGCAACTCACGCTGCCCATTGACCTTTTCACAGTTACTCCAGCCACTCCAACCACACAACAGTTACTAGAGCCACTCCACCCAGTTACTTCGCCCACTCCAGTTGTAGACTACTGGTGGAGACAAGAACGCTTCACACAATTTCCCCAGAAATTGTAGCTTTTCTAGTTTATTAATATTACTTTAAATGTATTTTTAATGAAAGCAGTGTAAATACCTGAATTTTGACAAAGTGGTTGTAAAGACTGAAGGATTTTTTTTACCTTCGTGCATTCTATGCTGTGTGCAGCAATGCCCCCAGCCCTGCCCAACGCTTACCTGAGCCTCATCGCGCTCCAGCGATGTGAATGACAGCTTCGTCTGCCTCGGGTCTCTGCCTCCTCATTGGCTGAGACAGCAAGCCAATGTGAATCACAGCCAGTGAGGACAGAGGGGGCGGGCCTAAGCTTTATTTAAAAACAAACCTTTATGCAGGCCATAGATGGGGAGAAAAAAACGGCAGATTTTTCTTTTAAAAAAACGAAAATTCGGTCGTTCAAGCGGCCGACGTTGCCATCAATGGTAAAAAAAATCGGCCGATTTTCATCCCTTCTACAGCCAGCAAAAAGTGTCCCTGAAGAGAGCTCTGCTATTTCTGACAGTTTTCTGACAGTTCCTTGACATTTACAGCGGTTGAAACATTGTATCTATTTGTTTCCATTTAGGATACAGATGTTTTTATTCGGAAACAAATAGATACAATGTTTCAACCGCTGTAAATGTCAAGGAACTGTCAGAGAACTGTCAGAAATAGCAGAGCTCTCTGCAGAGAGACTTTTTGCTGGACTGGAATTATTCTTATTTTCATCCTACTTCTTCTTCTTCATCCTCATCCTCTTTTTCTTCTTCATCCTCATCCTCTTCTTCCTCTTCTTCATCCTCATCCTCTTCTTCATCCTCATCCTCATCCTCATCTCATCCTCATCCTCTTCTTCATCCTCATCCTCTTCTTCATCCTCATCCTCTTCTTCTTTATCCTCATCCTCTTCTCTTCTTCATCCTCATCCTCTTCTTCATCCTCATCCTCTTCTTCATTCATCCTCATCCTCTTCTTCTTCTTCTTCTTTCTTCTTCTCTTCTTCTTCTTCTTCATCCTCATCCTCTTCTTCATCATCCTCATCTTCTTCATCATCCTCTTCTTCTTCTTCATCCTCATCCTCATCTTCTTCTTCATCCTCATCCTCTTCTTCTTCATCTTCTTCTTCATCCTCATCCTCTTCTTCTTCATCCTCATCCTCTTCTTCTTCTTCATCCTCATCCTCTTCTTCTTCTTCATCCTCATCCTCTTCTTCTTCATCCTCATCCTCTTCTTCTTCATCCTCTTCTTCTTCTTCGTCATCCTCATCCTCTTCTTCTTCATCATCATCCTCATCCTCCTCTTCTTCTTCTTCTTCTTCTTCTTCTCATCCTCATCCTCCTCTTCATCCTCATCCTCTTCTTCATCCTCTTCTTCATCCTCTTCTTCATCCTCTTCTTCATCCTCATCCTCTTCTTCTTCATCCTCATCCTCATCCTTCCTCTTCTTCTTCTTCATCCTCACCCTCTTCTTCTTCATCCTCACCCTCTTCTTCTTCATCCTCACCCTCTTCTTCTTCATCCTCACCCTCTTCTTCTTCATCCTCACCCTCTTCTTCTTCATCCTCACCCTCTTCTTCTTCATCCTCACCCTCTTCTTCTTCATCCTCATCCTCTTCTTCTTCATCCTCTTCTTCATCCTCTTCCTCTTCTTCTTTTTCTTCTTTTTGTCTTCCTCTTGCAGGTCACTGCCCATGCGCAGATTTTTTATCGGTAAAAAATCGGCCGATTCGCCCACTAATTGCCGCGAAAATCGGCCGATCGGCAAAATCGGCCGATTTTTTTTCCAACTTTACCGGAAAAAAAAACGGCCAAAATACCGAAAATCGGCCGACCAAATCGCCCACTAACGATCCGAAAATCGGCCGATTTTATTTTCGGCCGAAAAAACGGCCGATTTTCGACCCATCTATGGCCTGCATTAGGATCACTTTAACTTCTTACCCTCCTGAGGATTTACCCCCCCCCCCCCTTCCCGATCAGGCCATTTTTTGCGTTACGGCGCTGTTACTTTAACTGACAATTGCGCGGTCATGCACCGCTGCAGCCAAATGAAATTTGTCTTTTTTTTTTTTTTTTTCCCACAAATTGAGCTTTCTTTCGGTGGTATTTGATCACCTGTGTGGGTTTTTTTTTTTTTTTTTTTTTGCGCTATTAGAAAAAAGTCAATTTTAAGAAAAAAACAATATTTTGGACATTTTGCTATTAAGTCCAGTAAAAAAAACAAAAACAAATTTCGTCATAAATTTAGGCCAAACTGTATTCTATTCCATGTCTGCTAAAATAAATCCCAATACGTGTAAATTAATTGGTTTACGTGAAAGTTATAGCGTCTACAAATGGTGGTATAGATACTGGAATTTTTTTCTACTAGTAATGGTGGCTATCGGTGACTTTTAGCAGGACTGCGGCGGGCATTGTGACACTGGGAGGGGAACTAACTTTGTGTCACTGACATCCCCAGTGACACCAATACAGTGATCAGTGCTAAAAAAAAAAAAGCACTGACACTGTACTAATGGCACTGGGCAGGTAGGGGTTAACAGGAGAGGTGATCAAAGGGTTAACTATATGTAGGGAGTGTTTTACTAGGGGGTGATGTGTTGGTGCTTCACTGTAAGCACACTGCTCGGGATGGCTGTGCACAGCCATCCCGAGCAGTGTGCCTGAGCTGACTGGGAGGAAAACTGTAAACAAAACAGTCTTCCTCCATGTCGGAGATGCTCGGTAATCGGGTGCCGGCGGGTAATTACCAGTCTTGCCTGATCCTGCTCTCCCCTCCACTCCAACAGTGAACTGTCCCTCTATGTCCTCACATCCAATGCAGAGTTGTCAGAGAAACTTAGAGCTCTGGGTTTACACTTACTTTGCTGTTTGCTTGTGGATCACCCTTCAGACAGCGTTAGACAGGCAGCGAGGAGCTGCTGCATCAATTATATCTGTTTTAACCCCCAGCAGGCGACTGCACGGTTCGTGAGGTGGTTGCAGTACGGCCTCATTCACTGAATAGGTTGCACTCAGTGGGTGCGTGTTGCCAAGTGCTACAGGTGTTGTAATTCCTGCAATGATGCAAAGTGCCACAGCATGTATACACCCTTAGCTGCTTCCTCAGTAGCAAAAGGGATGTGGTTTAGGGGGCGTTAAAAATGTGGCTCAACTGTGGGGTTTTACTGTTCAGTTGCTGGTAAAGAGGCGGAGTAGTCCTGTGTATGTTCTGAGTCTGCACTTGGTGTAGACTCAGAATTTAGGAACAAGCGTAAAAATGCTGAGGAATATTCCCTCCCCTCTCCTTCCTCACAATCCCCAGCATACCCCAGATCTGCTGCTGTTGGCATTCATTTGCTTGCCTGTATTAGAGAACTGAGAGTTGGAAAGCCTGCTGTTAATTTTCCTTTCCTAGAGGTTTTCTTTTCCCTTTTTTTCCTTTTTTTTTTTTTTTTTTTTTTTTTTTTTTTTGCCTGCAATGTTTTTGAAATATTCTGCATCTAATGTTTATTACAATCAGTGATGCCGCTTTTGTTGCAGGTATGTGTCCTATTGCATGAAGTTTGTACACATGCTTTTGTCACACGGTGTCAAACCCATACTGGTGTTTGATGGATGCACTTTACCTTCGAAGAAAGATGTGGAAAGAGCAAGAAGAGAGTGAGTCATTCATGAAATTGTCAACAAAGTATTCATATTTTTTTACTATTTTTTTTTTATATACAATTATCCTATTTAGCTCTTTACAATGTAACTTTTTGTATCAGAGTGCTTTTACACTATGCATAACATTGTCAATTGGTTGTCCTCTTTTGTGGGGGGTTTTTTTTCACAGTAAAGTGGAAAGATCATTTACCCCCGATTCACTCATGTCCTGCTGGAAACACAGCAATCCCTGCCTGTTTCCCTTATTATTTATTAATATTATACAGGATTTATATGGCGCCAATAGTTTGCTCAGCGCTTTACAAAATAACAGGAGACAATACAGTTCAATACAAGAGGGTTAGGAGGGCCCTGATCCTTGGAGCTTACAATCTAAGAGATTGCATTGCAATCGTGTGTGCGCAAACTTATGCGGATGTCAGTACACCCCAAACTGATCACAGACGATGTGCGGTTTGCCTGCACTGGATCGCACAGTACGAAACAACCATGCAATCCGATTTCAGTGCGCCTCCAAAAAAGGTGCCTGCACGTCTTTGGTGCCATGTGGTGTGATTTGAGCCCATTAAAAATGAACCGGGCTCAAAATGCACCGCACTGAATTGTATGTGAATTGCACAGGAATGCCACAGCTCTGAGTGATCTTTTCTTATTCTGAATGAAGCAAATGGTACTTTTCACTCATTCATAATAGCAGGGGTGTATTTACCACAAGGCATTTGCCTAGGGTGGCATTTTTTATGGGGGCAGCACTGCCCTCTGGAAGAAGGGACATATGCAGTATGGGGACCAGGTGGGATCTAAGAGAGGCTGCTTGATGGTGTATGCAGAGCCCCACTGTCATTCCTGGGGATGTCCAGAGCTCTAAAGGTGACTGTCTTTCTATCTATCAGCACAAAACCTAAATACACCACTGCATAATAGTGACGGCTCATTCAGAGCTGTGACTTTGTCAGCGGCTTCTACACACGCGCACACAGCCCAACAGATAAATCGCATAGCTCTGTTGGCGCCTCCCAACTTTTTTTTTGTTTTTTTTTGTTTTTTTGAATGATCAACTGCGCTGGGACCAGTTCCCTGTATCACGGAGCTTGACGGTGCTGATCAGTCATAAATTTTATATCATATTGTGTATGGCATTGGTAGTCTCCAGAGCTTCCCCTGCTACCAAAGACCAGCACTGCTCATTTACAAGTCTGTATCCTTCTAGCAGTGTTTTTGGATGGGGATGGACCTGCCCGACCACACTGCTGAGAAACTAAGGCTCCGTTAAACTTGTGTGACTTGGCGTGCGACTAGAGCGAGATTTTATATATATATATATATATATTATATATATATATATATATATATATATGTATATGTGAGGGAAATGCATATTTGATCCCCTGCTGATTTTAAATGTTTGCCCACTCACAAAGAAATGATCAGTCTAAAAATTGAATGTTCGGTGTATTATAATAGCAATAAAAATTCAAATTAAATACATGTCTATCATTCAACAGGATTTCTGGCTACCAGGTGTCTTTCATACAGGTTAGAAACTTGAGATTAGAGTCAGTCTCTTAAAGGGAGTGCTGCTAATCTCATTTTGTTACCTGTATAAAAGACACCTGTCCACAGGAGCAATCAAACCATCAGATTCCAAACTCTCCACCATGGCAAAGACCAAAGAGCTGTCCAAGGATGTCAGGGACAAGATTGTAGACCTACACAAGGCTGGGCTGGGCTACCAAACTATCGCCAAGCAGCTTGGTGAGAAGGTGACAACAGTTGGTGCAATCATTCACAAATGGAAGAAACACAAAACTGTCAGTCTCCCTAGGTCTGGTGCACCATGCAAGATCTCACCTCGTGGAGTGTCAATGATCATGAGAACAGTGAGGAATCATCCCAAAACTACATGTGAGGATCTTGTCAATGATCTCCAGGCAGCTGGAACCACAGTCACCAAGAAAACAATTGGTAACACACTACGTTGACATGGATTGAAATCCTGCAGTGCCCGCAAGGTCCCTCTGCTCAAGAAAGCACATGTCCAGGGCCCGTCTTAAGTTTGCCACTGAACATCTGAATGGTGCAGAGGAGGACTGGTGGGAAGTGTTGTGGCCAGATGAGACCAAAATCGAGCTCTTTGGCATCAACTCCAACCTATCCTTCCAGCCCCAATTCCAATCTTTAACAAACTCATGCAGACTCCACCTCCGCAACATCGCCAAAATCCGCACGTTCCTAACCCCAGAAACCACTAAACAGCTCATCCACTCCCTCATCATATCACGATTCGACTACTGCAACTCCCTCCTCACTGGCCTGCCTCGCCGCTGGCTATCCCCGCTTCAGTCGATCCTGAATACGGCTGCCAGACTCATTCACCTTTCCAGCCGCTCCGTTTCCACCACCCCCCTCTGCCAATCCCTCCACTGGCTTCCGATTGCGCAACGGATCAAATTCAAAATCCTAACGCTGACGTACAAAGCTGTCCACCATACTGCCCCGAACTACATCACTGACCTAATATCAAAGTACCGCCCAGCACGCGCACTCCGCTCCTCACAAGACCTCCTTCTCTCTAGTTCCCTGGTCTCCTCCTCCCATGCCCGCCTCCAGGACTTCTCCAGGGTGTCACCCATCCTCTGGAACTCCCTGCCCCAACCCATCAGATTATCACCTACTCTCCTCTCCTTTAGGCGCACCCTGAAAACCCATCTCTTCAGGGAAGCCTACCCCCCCCCTGCTAACTTGCCGACCTTCTCCACTCTTCCTACCACTCCATCCCCCACAGCTTTCTCCTCCTGTGCCACCATCCCCTCCCTCCTAGATTGTAAGCTCGAAAGAGCAGGGCCCTCAATCCCCTCATGTTTTGCATTGTATTGGTATTGTTCTGTCACATGTTCTGTACCCCTTTGTAATGTACAGCGCTGAGCGAACTATTGGCGCTTTATAAATACTGTATAATAATAATAATAACTCCACTTGCCATGTTTGGAGGAGGAGGAATGCTGCCTATGACCCCAAGAACACCATCCCAACTGTGAAACATGATGGTGGAAACATTCTGCTTTGGGGGTGTTTTTCTGCTAAGGGGACAGGACAACTGCACCGCATCAAAAGGACGATGGACGGGGCAATGTACCGTCAAATCTTGGGTGAGAACCTTCTTCTCTCAGCCAGGGCATTGAAAATGGGTCGTGGATGGGTGTTCCAGCATGACAATGACCCAAAACACATGGCCAAGGCAACAAAGGAGTGGCTCAAGAAGAAGCACATTAAGGTCCTGGAGTGGCCTAGCCAGTCTCCAGACCTTAATCCGATTGAAAATCTGTGAAGGGAGCTGAGAGTTCGAGTTGCCAAACGTCAGCCACCAAACCTTAATGACTTGGAGAGGATCTGCCAAGAGGAGTGGGCCAAAATCCCTCCTGAGATGTGTGCAAACCTGGGGGCCAACTACAGGAAACGTCTGACCTCTGTGATTGCCAACAAGGGATTTGCCACCAAGTGCTAAGTCATGTTTTGTGAAGAGGATCAAATACTTATTTCCCTCCTGAACATGCAAATCAGTCATCATTTGTTAGACATGCATTTCTGCTGAATTTTTTTTGTAGCTATTCTGTCTCTGTGTTTCAATACACCGAACATTCGATTTTTAGACCGATCATTTCTTTGTGAGTGGGCAAATATTCAAAATCAGCCGGGGATCAAATACTTATTTCCTTCCCTGCATATACCATGTTATTTGCAAAATGTTATAACAGAAACAAAATTGTGTTTTTTGGGGTTTTTTTTTTGTTTTTTTTTTCTAAAAAGCTTTTTTTTTTTTTTGTTTAGCAAAAAATAAAAAAAGAGCTCTATTTCTGTTAAAAAAAAAAAGTTTTTATTGGTACCGTGTTGCATGACCGCACAATTGTCATTCGAAGGGCGACAACACTGAAAGTTGAATATTGGCCTGGGTAGGAAGGGGTTTGACTACTGCAACTCCCTCCTCACCGGCCTACCCCAGTGCAGGCTCTCCCCGCTTCAGACCATCCTCAACTCAGCGGCTAGACTCATCCACCTCACCACCCGCTCCACCTCTGCCA